TAAACAATCAAAATGGCTGTGCCTTCCAGACAGCAGAAAGCCCACAGCTCAGGTTGTCTCCCTTCTTGCTGTTTCCCTTCCTAGTCACAGGCCACCAGAGCAGTTGTCCCTGCAGCCCTTGGTGACCAGGGCTGATCTTTAGGTCAATTCTCAGGTCCCAATACCACTTGGAAATATTCAGGCTATAGGTCTTGTCAGAGTAGCTGACAGTCCGCAGTTCTAACCATCTCTATACTCAGTGTTTTCATTCAGGTATTTCCACTAGTTGGTGCCTAATCCACTTCTGTACAGTTCCTTTCAAAGCTCAGGATTCCAGGATTATCTTCTGTATCTTCGTCAATTTTTTTTTTTCTTTGTTGAAGAGGGTCTGTGTTGCTTGTCTGCCTATTCCTCCATCTTACCAGAAGTCAATATGAAATCTTTGACAACCTCCATCTTCTCTCCATGTATTGTGATCCTGGTTATTAGTACAGTTGTGAGGATTTTCGTTTTCCTTTTATTGAAGTATATTCCATACTGCAGTCTGTAGTCTTTATTCTTCATCAATAACTGCTTCAAGTCATCCTCACTTTCCACAAACAAGGTTGTGTCATCTGCATGTTGTAGGTTGTTAATGAATCTTCCTCCAATCCTGTTGCCATGCTCTTCGTCATATAGTCCAGCTTCTCAGATTACTTGCTCAGCAGACAGATTGAATAAATATGGTGAAAGATATAACCCTGACACATGCCCTTCCTGATTTTAAACTATGCTTCTGTTTAAATCTTGTTTTGTTTGAATGATAGCCTCCTGGTCTATGTACAGTTCCTCATGAACTGTACATAAGTTCATAACTGTACATAAATGTTCTGGAATTCCCATTCTTTGCAATGTTATCCATAATTTGTTATGATCCATGTAGTGGAATACTTTTGCATAGTCAATGAAACACAAGTAAACATCTTTCTGCTATTCTTTGCTTTCAGCCAAGATCCATCTGACATCAGCAATGATATCCCTTGTTCCATGTCCTCTTTTGAATCCAGCTTACATTTCTGGAAGTTCCCTGTCGATATACTGCTGTAACCATTTTTGAAATATCTCCAGCAAAATTTTACTTGCATGTGGTGTTAATGATGTTGTTTGATATTTTCCACATTCTGTGGGATCACCTTTCTTTGGAACAGGTAAAATTATGGATCTCTTCCAGTCAGTTGGCCAAGTAGCTGTCTTCCAGATGTCTTGGCTTAGACGAGTAAGTGCCTCCAGCACAGCATCCATTTGTTTAACATTACAATGGGTATACTGTCAATACCTGGAGCCAATTCTTTCAGTACAGCAACTTCTTCCTTCAATACCATTGGTTCTTGATCATATGCCATCTCCTGAAATGGAGGAACATCGACCAATTCTTTTTGGTACACTGACTCTGTATATTCCTTCCATCTTCTTTTCATGTTTTCTGCATCATTCAATATTTTGTCCATAGAATCTTTCAATATTGCAACTTTAGGCTTGAATTTTTTCTTCAGTTCTTTCAGCTTGAGAAATGCTGAGTGTGTTCTTCCCTTTT